ATATAATATAATATTTTTGAAAAGTAGGTTAAACTTCTAGGTCAAGGTCACAGAGTCAAACGTCATGATATATTTAGAAAAGTCTTTTCATATGTAATATACATGTATAATTTGAATGCCCTATCTTTTCTCTTTTAAAATGATCGATTTAAAATGTTTTTTTTTGAAAGTAGGTAAAACTTTAAGGTCAAGGTCTCACTTGAGTTAAAAAATCATAGTACATTTAGAAAGTTTTGTGGTAATGTACATCGTAACATGTGAAATATGAAAACCCTATCTCCTATTATTCAAAAGTTCTGACCAAGGTTAAATCTATTTAAGATGCATGCACATGCTGTCAAAGATGGACAGACTCAGACAGACAAATGAGATTTAATGTTCCCTCCCTTTTCCAAAAATGGGGGACAATAATGCCCTTGCTGTTCTTGAGAGGAAGATTTATGACATGGAAAAATCCCCTTCATATTTCTTAACACAAATCAATATTGTGTTTTATGTCATTTGTTTGTTTGTTGTTAAACATCCCTCCGTAAAATCCCTATTTACCCCCCCCCCCCGCCCCTATAAGCGCCCCCTTACATGTAGGTATTCATGTATGCAAACTACTACTTGTTTTTACATTAAAAAAAAGTTTATATATACAAATAGTTTAATGGGGTCCATCCATTTGAATGATTTTCATTCCTAATTCTAGGAGGATAGGTTGATGAATAAAATGTCAAGTAATCTTATCATTGATGCACTTTTATTTAATTTAATGCAGTCATATTGTGAACATTTCCAGTTCATTAGGAGAGTGGGGATGACCTCCAGGGTTTCACAACCTTCATACCATTAAATTTACATAGCATAATAACACCAAAAAAAATTATGTATAGTCAAATGGAAAAAGTTTCCTACTATTTAGGAGTCACATGATCATTTGTCATTACAGGGACAGGGAGTGGATTTGGAGATCCCCCCCCCTGGAATTTGCAGGACTATAATATATACTGAAGCAAATAAAAATGACTTTGGATGCCCTCCACCCTAGAAAACAGAGACCACCATAACTTTTCTTTTTTTTTTTCTTCTTCTCAGGAAATTCTGGTCTGGAAATCCCCCTCCCTCCCAGAAAAAATTCTGTATCTTGTAACTGAATGTAACGTCCATAACGGGCGATAACTCTTCAGAATGTGAAATTCGTCTCATTGCAGCATCGGATGACCTTTGATTCTTTAAACTATAACCTAACCAGTTGCATTTCAGACTATTTTACCCAAATCTGTACCAACTCTTGTACTTACCGACATAGGTCCCGTAAACTTCATGAATCATAATCCAATTTAAACACAAAATAATTCCTACTGACATATATGCAATGATGTGTACACCACAGTCTGCACGTGCAGTGCAATCTAAAAATGATCATGGTAAAACTAATACTTAAGTTGGGTACGTGACGCAGGCCCAATGTGATGCAGGTGTTCAGATACATTTATAGTACAAGAACAAATTTAAAATTATCATTTACAAAAGATGTTTTATCTTAACTTTGCCATCTAGGCCTATTTCCAAAAACAGGCAAATAGGGTGTGTTGTGTGTGTGTGTTGATCGGAGAGGGGTGGGGGTGGGAGATTGACTAAATTGATTGGGTATATGGCAGCTTTAAAGGTGTTTCTGCCTAATCAAATATCAAAAAGTTTGTACATTTTGAAAAAATCATCTAAAACGCTTTGCACTAATTTGAATAATATTATTTGTTGTTGATCTATATGAGAAAATAGATTTAAAAAGTATTAATTATGGGCCAAAAATTTATATCCCCCTTTATCAAACCTAATTTACATCATTAATTAAATTCTGTTGTTAAATTTCAGACTGGTAACGAATTAAGAAAATGAAATACCTATAAGATCGAGGCCCATGGGTCACACGGTCACCTAAACATATTATGCTCCAGGGGCGGATCCAGCAATTTTTGAAAGGGGGGGAGCGGGGGTTCCAGGGTTGTGTCCCTCTAACCTCCTCCCCTTTACACACTCTCAGGCAAAGATTCACACACACATGAATGGAAAAATATAAGATTGTGGAAAATAATATCTTTGTTCTACGTCCTTTTTTCTTTGAAAAGGTACCCCCAGTCAGTATTAAGCCTTATAATTGAATGGATTTGCAGCATTTCCGAAGAGTAGAATGAATTTTCTTCAAGAATTTGAAAAATCCTTTTTGGGTTGGGTATAAAACAATGAATTAAATTTTAGTTCCTTCATAAGATTTAGTTTTAAAAAATGGCACCTTCTTGTATATAGCCAACACAGCCAAATTAAGATCGCGGGAATCTAATATCAAATTTAACCTCGCATGTTACATATCATATATAAGATATATAAAAATAAGTAGAATATTTTCTACCATTCACTCATAAAAAGTTATAGTGAAGGTGAATGGAAAAAAACTAAATGTGTGAGTATCTATCTATTCAATACATATTTAAGTAAGACGTACAAATACTTATTCTCGGGAAACGTTTTATCCCCCTTCTTTCTATCTCTTTCTCCACTTGGCAAAAAATAAAGGGGGGGGGTTTCCAACCCCCGGAACCCCCCTCTGGATCCGCCAATGTGCTCAATTTGATGAATACATGTATTATGTAAATTATTGAATTATATTCACTTTTTCCTTGGTAAAGCCCAATTTTAAGGAGTGTGCATTTAGAGGCAAACACCTTAGTGCGGGTATTACTGTCTCATGACAGCATCTAGTTATATTTAGATTTAAGTTAAAATTTAATTAAGTGCAAAAGACAAGCCACTGGAAAAAAGAAAATCGAAGAAAGACAAAAAGATGCAATTTTCAAAGTTGTCCGATGGAAATTATTCATAATTTGATTATACTAGGTCTAATGTTTTTTTAGGGTGTCCATGATTTCATGATTTAATGATAATATGTGACTGAATTACAGTATACCCCAGTCGACCCTCTCAAAATATTTGTTTTTAAATATCGCTAAACTCTTTTCAGTTTTTCATTTAAAAAATTTACTTTTCTTTTCAATTATTAGAGATACAATATATCTTAATGATATTTCGTTCCAGATACGTCATGTTACCTCGTCAAAAAGACCTCGACAGTTTGTCTCAGTTATCAGACATTAAGGTTGATGAAAAATCGAGTAACAACAACGCATACTAAATTTCAAGCAAAATCAAGTATTTCAACAACTAAAAAGGCAGAGAAAAGAAGAAGTCAAGGTACTAGAATTTTAGCATTTTTTGTATTTTTGATTCATAAACTTAGAAAAAGATTTTATTTTATTCTAATGCATTTAAAAATTTCTGAATGCCATTTACACTTTTAATTTGGGGTTTTGGTTTCCAGACCGAAACCAGTTGGAGCTGGTCAACAATTAAGAATTTAATCATTTTTTGTTTTTTTTTATTTCTGTTTTCAAAACGGCGCTAAAGAAGGGTAAAAATCCGAAAATATAGACGTAGTTTTCTTTGTATCATTTAATCCTAAATATTCTGTTAAAGATGGATAGAAACAGATTTGAAGTTAATATATTTTCTCAATCTTTCTAATATGACGACTTATATATTGCAATAGCTTTTCACACAGAAATATATTTAAAATATTATTTCATCTAAAAATTATTGAAACTTCAATAATTTTTGGATGGGTGTGATTGACACATTCTAGCACTTTCACAAAGGAGTATATATGATAAGAGCCAATATTGACCCCCTTAAAATCAATATTTTAGAATGACATTCAGAAATGTTTAATTCAGATTTATTTGAAAGAAGAGATTATATTAGAAATATTTCTAATATATATTTTTCACATTTATATGCACTCTCTAGCTATACATGACATGAGAAATAATGGTATCTTTGCTATCTAACAAAAAAGCCAAAATATGCCCTTTTCTTGATGTTTTTTTCTTATGGGAAACATAGAGCGCAGTGCAGAACATACATAATTTTTCTGTCACTAGTTAGAATTCGATAGCTACATCTTAGGAAAAAAATATAAATCTTGTTCTATGCTATGCTCTATATTTTCTGGAAGAAAAACTCCTTTAAAATAAGCAGTTTTATACAAAATATGCTAAAATGGCGGGAACACCTTATTTTTATGATGTCATATTTTCATGTAATTCATAAAAATATATAATACTGTAATTGTTAAGGGACAATTATATAAAGGTACAGAAGATCCCAAACAAAGGAATGACCCGACTACCCTTGGCATAAAATATAAAGCGAAAGAGTAGTCAACTGTTTAGAAATTAGATGAATAAGCCAACAAAACAATATCAAGACAGTATGAGAAAGTAAAAAAAAAAATAATAGGGGTAAGAATAGAATAGAATCATCAGTGCCAAGTAATCTTATGGAATTGATGTTAAGTTATTGGTGTAACAAATTTGAAGAACATTGAGACACCCAGATTTTATCAATCAATAAGAACCTAGGGGTATTAACACAGTGTGAATGGTCCCCGTTTCTGGGTGTTATTTGCTCAGATAGAGTGGCTCTCATTATAATTTATATCATTAAATCAAACAAAGTGAGAAAAAAACCTATATATGCTATATATATATATATATATATATGTATATATATATATATTCCTTGTAAGAACCTAATCCTACACTTTACAATGCATAAGAATACCACGCTGACAATAGATAACTTGTACCACAAAACAGGAAATATAACATGAAATCTTTCTAATAACAGCACAACAGACAAAATGTTATCAGAAAAAAATCAGTTCAGGTGAGCTAAATGGTTCAGCTCAAATCCTTTCGGCACAAGAATAACGCAAAATATTTTCTAGATAATTATTACATGTACTACTGAAAAAGTTACCATTCAGTATCGTACTATTTATAAATAGCAGATTAAAAAAGTAAAGTTGATCTATCAGATATATCAAGAATTAAAATGTTTTTTGTGCACACGTATTAAAGTGATATACATTAATCCTGAATATGTTTTAAGATCAAAACCTTCTATCCCCACAGTATTGCGAGTGCATGTAAGACTGAAAAAATACAACTACACATATATTTGTCCTTTTGTTTGTCTAACTTTCTCGCCATAATTGTGTGTCGATCACCATCTCTCTCTCTCTCTCTCTCTTGACCCTGGTAAATATTATGTAACAAAATATTATGCGAACAGATAAAAATATTTGCACAATATAATAATAATTTATATAACATTTTTGAATAAGTTTTCCTATTATACATGTTTCACAAATGTAATAAGTTTTGCTATAAACCCTGAAAAATGTCGAGTCACACCGGAAACAGTTATGTCCGGCCGGAAACAGTTATGTCAACCCTCGACAGAAACAGTTATGTCACTATTTCGATCACGTTCACGTGTTTTTACGTTACGCATTTTAGCTCGGATTCGAGATGTTATGACGTCGGTTGCTTAGCAAATGTAAACAACAGAGCGTTATTCTTAACGTCAAGAAGGCATTTTTAGATTGTTTGTGTACATTTTAACAATTTTTAATGATTTTAAATTTTCCTTTAACTTTAAAAATGTCATATAACATATACCACATGGCTTCTCGGGTGACTATACCAGAATATTCGCCCCGAGGTGACAGGAAAGCCCTGGGGTGTTATGTCACCCGATGCGAACAGATAAAAATATGTTCACAATATAATAATAATTTATGGTTGTAAATAATATAATATATAGTAACAAAATAACAAATTGGTATCTCTAAGCAGGGCATACAAAGGATCAATTATGTCAGGTAGTTTCTGAAATTTTTTAAACACATTAGTCTTTTTTGATTAAGTATATCCCAGGTATATTACATTCGCTGCTCTCCTACGAGTTTTCATAGTCATTTATCGGATCATGGTTTATTTCAACGATAAACTCTCTTCCTTGATGAGCACGGAATCGTCTGTATGATGACATCACAAATGTACAGACATACAGAATGAACAGGATAGATGCAAAAAGTCCAAGAACAAGTATACTTTGTAGCAGAATACTTGAGAAACGTTTGCTGGTCGTCTTCTTGGTTTCAGATATAACATCCGTATTCTTGCTTTGATGATTTAGCTCTATTTAACAAAGATAAAGTGTATCATTAAAAAAAGTGTTTGATGTTTGAACAAAGATGGACTTGAATTGTATAGTGTGAGGGATGTTGGATAAATAAGTAATGCTATCAAAATTGAATAGTGTTGTTAACATTCATATGATTTATATGGAATTTGCACTGAGGCCGTCAGCGTCCTATGGTCTGTCGTAGTGTAAGAGGGCAAAGTATATTTTGCATCGGGATCGAGATTCATAAATTTTTATAAAGTTTACAAATTATAAAAAGATAAAATTATTTTTACGTTCATATGCTTTTTTTAATAACTGAAAATACTAACGTATTTGGCTGTAAGTAATTTCTATAATTTATTTTGAACACTTGTGAATCTGTCCATTGATTGGTCAATTTTCCGAATGTACAGTAGGCCATCGTTTGGCGGTATTTTCACAGTAGATGTTGACCAGTGAAGACGTGTATCAGAAACGCCTTTTTTCTGATATATGTGAGTAATGATATTTTTGGCTTGCATTCATATTAGATTAGGTACTTATGTTACAAGTGAATTTTTTTTTCTATATTTCGTGAAATATGCAACTGAGTAATTTCCCGATTGAAACTTGTTTATTACTAGTCAGAAATGATGTCTTGATGTTACCATCTAGACATTTGTTTATAAGTATGTTTATAGGTTAAAAAAATAATAGATGGTTCCTTGTCAAGTACATGTATGTATAGTTTGTATGAATTGAGTTGTAAGACCTGATTGTATTTATAGTGAACAGTCCTCGTGTGATGATGTCACAATGACCGGAAGCCATTCTGCATTCCTTACTTAGGTTTGTGCACTGTGTAGATTTTTTTTTACTAATTATTTATACTGCATATTTATTTCTTGCTAAGATGATATGCTGTGTGATAAAGTATAATAGAAGTCTGACTGTCATAAATATTACTTCATGAAATGGACATTACTTTTTCCTAATATTGAAATATCAGGAGGTTATGTTGTACTTGTTAACATTTGTTTTTTATGACTATCATTTTCAATTGTGAATTGTTTTAGGAGCACTGTCACCATAACCATTGAAAATCATTTGTTGATCATCAAATAGAGATTAAAAGAACTACAATACAAGAAAATTAATCTCTTGTGTTACAGTAGTTAGGGAACTAAACAAAGATTTTTTTTAAATACTAGTTTGCAGATCGCCTGGCAAAGGACCGCTTGTCGATTTCAGTTTTCCGGCGACCAAGTAGAGACCATAAAACTTCTGACTACGAAAAATTTTGTTGAATCCTATACATGATAATCGCAGTGCTTCTGATCTTAATCAGTAACTGCACAATGAAGTTATGGGCCACCTAGAGGCGTTTCAATACCCAATTAAATTTCATGAAACAGGTTACAATCAGAAGCATAATAGGCTATGAATTGAAAGAATTGTTGCTTAATTATCGACAATACAATTTTTTGGTGTCTATTTGTAATGAATTGATGAATTTTAAACGGATAAAAATCACAGTCCTGTATACGTTCTTTAATTTGTCATTTTAAAAAACGTTCTATTTAATGAGATTGTATTTATATTTAGCATAAAGAGAGATATTCCCTTCCTCCAATTTTTTTTGTGACCTGTTTTACAATAACGATAAATACCAGGGTGTCTTAGGAAAATGCCAACATTTTCAATATCTTCTATTTCGTCAACACGTATCTAGTAATGTTTGTGAATTTGTTCTGGATACTGTGCCTCTAAAAACTCATTTAAGCATACATTTAGCCTTGTATTTTATTTTGTTTTAGTTACCACGTTATTCACCTCCATTCTTTTAACAGACAATTTCATAGTCCCGATTAAAAACTTAACGGATCGAATTGTTTAACAATTGTCTTTACGTAGGCCTATGACTTCGACGTCCCGCTCTCTTGTCTTTTTAGTTCTTGATTAAAGTTATCTATTCTCTTCTCCTGGATAACCAGTCAATTCAACCTAAAACCCTTTAAACTAGACATAAACCTGACTCCCGTACTTATGTTTGTGTTTTTTAATCATTAACATCCCTTTTCCCTGTGAAGAGGAGTCATATCCTGCTGAATATAGCATTGCTTGAAAAATTGGTTCTCTACATTCCCGCTTAACGTCACCTGTTTTGACAATGTCTATGTGCTTGGCACATATCGTCATATATTTGTCATTAATGACGTCAAATAAATAGATTTTTGAATATGAGTTCACCACATTAAAGGGTATTTATGTAGATAAAATTTTGATATAGTATTGCCGTATAGTCTGATAATAAAGAAAACTTTATTGACAATGCTATTTGTAAAAGTCAAAAAATTCCCGACCATCGATATCAACATCCTATAAATGCTGTTTTTATATGCATATGACATTACAGGCCTTTTATATTTTGTGAAAATATCAAAACGATGATTTTCCAACAGCATGCATTTTTTTTTTTAAAAGTTTTGCTTCAATAGTGTTTTGAATATTCAAAAAGTTTAAGTTTTTTCTGGGAAAATCCTCATATGGCACTAAAATGTTCATCGCAAGTACTAATATATGCAAAATAAATGTTTTTGTTATAAATACACTGTGTACCTAATATGCATCGTATTTTCAATGAAAATACTTACATAGAATTTTTTTATCGCGATTTTTCAAAGGGATAAACAAACGTTATGCATTGAAAAAAAAGACAAATCTTTTTTGCATGTTGATGGTTATTACAATTAAATAATCTATTTTTATAAGATTTGCTTTTACTTCTTAAAAATGAGTTGTAGCTTTTGAAACAATGACATTTGCAGCAACAATGTTAAAAAATAAGTAAATTATGTTTGCTCTCACAGTATTTTAAATGCTCACCTGTGGTCAAAACACTATCAAATCTAGTGAATCCAGTAAATCCAGAGGTAGTATGAACGGTATTCTTACCAGCGCTCACATCTGTGTTTGAAATATATCAATGAAAGCGTAGTAAATATACATTAATTTTAGATTGTTTTGCTTTTATTCTGTTTGTTTTTGTAAACTAGTCACTTTATGAAAGTCTGTTCAAGAGTGCTAAACGTAACTCAATTTTTAAGACATAATTGGAATAAAATTTGTTCAAATATCACATTGTATCATGGATGCGGTATTTTTCCTTTGAAGTTGCCTAAATGTTAAATCCAGTTAAAATGAAAGGGGGTGGAGCTTAAGCATGCGTTAACTTCCAATGTGATAACTTGTTATTGCACACTTTTAAAATAAAGACAAAGTGCTAAAACACATTTTATTTTTTTTCACAAACCAACAAAAAAAAAAAGTTGACACATGTACTGTCATGTATGATTTAAACCAAATTTTCAAATTGTTCTTCATTAAGCCATGTCACAAGCGTTTGTCTCAAAAATTGAACGAAATTTTACAGTTTTCAAACTGAAACTTGTTGGTCAAATCCGCCATTGCCCTGTTGTCAATTTGTTTAGACGAATTGCTGCTAGAGGCCATAGACTGCAAACTCTCACAGACTTTTCCCAGCGTATTTTCAGCACACATAGGTTCTTGGTTATCATTTTCGTCATACGGTGTTTCCATTTTCATTGCTTTCGGCGCCGGTGGATCAAGTATTTTGCTGACATTCTCTGCTACCTCTGGACATGATCGTTTGTACTTCCGCACTGCTCGCTCTGACCTATGTCCGGTTCGCTCCATGATCGCCTGTTCATCCATTCCAGCGCTGTACAACTGGCTAGCACAGGTGCGCTTTCCACTGTGGTTAGTAAAGTTTCCAATGAGACCCCCCTTTTTGCAGATGATTTTCATGAAGGTTTTAATCTTATTAACACCAACAACTTGTGCACCATATCGAATAGGGTTCCCTGCAAGTGGACGTCTGTAAAACTCCCCCTCGTTTCCAAGTGCATCAAGGTACTGATAAAAATAGTCGGCTATGCATCGATCTCCTTTAAAAAAAAAGTAACAAAAATAAATTTATATTCATCAATTTGTAGTTTTAAATGTAAAAAAATCAATCTAAAGGAAAAATACCGTACCTGGTTGACAATAGTGCCGAATGTTTTTACTTTGCAGAGATAGGTGGGCAAGTCCTCCCTTAAAAGTCTTGTTTGAACCGCCGCAAAAGTGGATGTATTTACCTCGCCCATCCTCACCAATCGTGACGTTTGCACATGTCAAGTCTCTATGCTCATCAAATCCCCGCAACCCGAATAATTTACACATGTAAAAAAACACTGTATACTGTAGCGTTTCCGCGGACTTGTTTCCCAGTACTTCTCTTTCCCAAAGCAGTTCTTCGTCTTCTTGAGTTATTGGATCTGCCTGTTTGACTTTAGTTCCCAGTCCTTTAGACAAGAGGGATTTCATTTGAGCATCCAGCGTTTTTCTAAACTCTGCAAATTTCAAGTCTGAAAAGAAATTAATGTCATGTCTCTTGTTGTCTCGCAAATACCTTAACAATCCACAAACTAGATAGTAGACCGACTTAGGTGGGTATTCACTTCCGTCCTTCTTCCGTGCGTCGCATACAAAATGTGTCGATGAATAACTCATAGTAGAAACATCCATGTGTAGAAGTTCCGGTACTGCAAGTTCCAAAGGCAGATTCTTGTTTTTTTCTTGGCGCCACTTTTCGAAAACCCCAAATGCCCAACGAGTATTTCTCTTTGTATTTTGATTTTCTTGACTAGAAATCAACTTCTCAATTTCGGAATCAGAAATTCCCCCGAAACGTTTGGTCGACTCATCGCTGTTCGTTTCACTGAATTTATCGGTGGCACCTCCGTCCATGCCGTCCAAATTAAATTCTCCAAACAGATCGAGGTTCAGCGCATTCGCGCCTGTCGGGTTAATGTCAAAGTGATTCATACCATCAATGAGTTCCTCTTCTTTTTCAATGGCATCACATATCTGTGATAGAGTGAAATCATCCTCGGTTATTGCTAAAAAGTCAATCTCATCAAAATTGATGGTGCCGATTTTGTCGTCCATTTTCTCTCGCTGTTATACTGGAAATGTTCGTCTGCACACGAGTTGCGCTATACCACAATGCTTTGCGACGGTGGGCGGAGTTTATCAAAAAAAATTCTAGACTTTTCTAGATATTAACTTGTTTCCGCTCCACTAACGCTATATAAGGAATGTAGGCGGAGTTATCCATGATACAAGTTATTTATAGAACAGTTACTCGTAATAACTTAATTTATCGTACATCCACATTAGCCGAGACTCGTTGCTGCCCAACTCGTCCCGCCCTAATGTGGATGTGCGATAAATTAAGTTATTACTCGTTAACTGTTCTCTAAATATCACTTACAGCCTGATACATGTACATTTCTATTTATTTAGCTTGGTTTATATTAAAAAAAAAAATCAACAATAAAGGAAAATGCAATTCATTTATCAGTCATCAACATTTACAATAAGTGTCAAATTCAATTAAAAACAGTTCTTTTGTAGACCTTTAAAAATTAAATTCTGCTTCATAAAAATAAAAAAAACAACTGATGAAAATTGTGCACACTTAGTTTCCATAGCCACTCCAACAGACGTAAAGTTTCCGTAGTAAGTTCAACATAGATATTAATTGTTTATACGTATATGTTGTTTTAAAAGATCGATCACTGTTTGTTAATTCCACATTTTTACACATACAAACAAACAACTAAACTTAGTGAAAACCAAGTTTATTTATATCTAGCAATATACATGTACCATTAGCAACTGCATATGAAACATTGAGCATCAAGTGATTACATGTAAATGACCAAACTCTTTCAGTTTGATTTATTATCTTAACACTTTCTAAATCATATCAAACTTAAGACAAATAGGTTTATTATGAAGGATCGGGTTTGTGTGATTTACAATATGGATTAAAGTTGAACATATTAAAAATGTTTGTTTATATAATTTTCATTTTAATAACTTATACTTAGTCGAAGAAACAGTTGTGTGATCCAAGATCGGAGGTGGCTATTCTGTTTTAATACTCATTCTACCACGATTATTACAAAGATCAAAGAAAAACCGCGAACATTACTTTCCAATTAATCAGAAACACGTATCAAATCTGAACAATAGTCAAATGCATGTTTGGCTGTAGAATAAAATACTTGTTTAAACCGCATCGATGTGTCGTCTTTTGCAGTATTTATAAGCACTATAAATTGCATAAAGTTGCTGAAGAACGTCGGTTTTTATAGCTAAGTTAGGCTATTCCACGGACCTCCCTATATATATAAACTACGTGATTTTAGTTCCAATAGAGTAGTAAAACAGGAACATGATTTTGTTATTGTCTCTTCATTATAACTGATCAATACATTTTACAAGCAAATTATATAATAATTTAAAAAGGCTATTTTAATGTAATGAAAGCTCAAATCGTCTGCATTCCATACACGGGTAAGTAAACAAATTTTACCTCTGGTGTTAAATGGAACAGCGTAATCGAGGCATGGTTACCTAATTCGTTTCTCTATTGAGGAAACGATCAGCCGTATTTTAGCGATTTTTGTTGACATGGTACACTGTAGAATAGAAATAAATTCCTTGTTGTCGTGAATAATACTGAATAACCTTCTCGGTCTAGAAATGTTGTTTGAAATATAAAAGCCTCCGCTAACGACTCGGCTTTTATATTTCAAACAACATTTCTAGACCGAGGAGGTTATTCTGTAACATTCACGAAAACAAGGACTTTATTTTTAAATCTGATATTATTATGTTTAAGTACACTTGAGATAGTAACATTTGAGTGTTTCTAATGGACTTTTGCAAAGACGTTGACTTTTACAGTTGACGGCTTACTTTTACAACAGGAAAATATACGGTAGCTATTTTCAGTAAAAAATATTGATCTTAATATTTAACAAAAAGATAATAACAGGATATTTAAAAGATCATATTACGTTGTCTAGGACGAAAACGGCAATATTACTACCCTCAACAACCTCCCTTCAGGTCTTGACTAACTTCTGCCGAGTTTTCCTACCGAAATGTGTCTTCTTCTTTATTCAGTTATTTCATTTCTTAAGTTATTTAAAATAAAAGGATATTTTAATTCTCGTGAATAAAGTATCCAAATAAATTTTATTTTACCATCAATTATAATTTTTGTTTGATAAATTATTTCTAAGCCCCGAATACAATAACTTTCACCTCTTGAGATGTTTTCTATCTTCTTTTTTTCAATCCCGTACCTCTGTACATGACGCAGGTTTAAATGTCCAAGTAAGCTGTCGAATGTAAAAGTAAGTCTCTTCATAAAACTCCACTGTTAAATTATATGTACTTACCATTTGTGTGACATCCGGAGACATGATTGCACAGGTCCTCAATGCAAAAACATTCTAGCTGACAATTGCTGCCATAACTTGGGTATCGACATTTATTTTCACATTTCTTTCCATTTTGACATACTTGAAAAAAAAAACCAGCATGATTTAACAGTGTTATACCTTATCAATAGAGAAAAAAGTGATATTTTAAATAATGTTAGAAATGTATATTTACAAGTTGCATAATTGTTTTAAGTATAATCTCTTGAATAAAATCAAGTGGTGATATTTTGATCTTCATCAATGCATATCAAAAATCCGGTTTCAATACATATGTAATTTGAGATTTTTTAGAGGCAATTTGTTTTAAAAAATGTAAATGTTTACTTGAAATATTCCTCGTTGTGAAATGCAGCTTAGTTTTGTCTGTTATTGTTCTGGGAGAGAGTGTTCGAGAACCATCTACAAAATACTCATAGTAATCAATTAGCAAATTATTATAAAAAGCGTAAATAAGCCATCTATATATTCAATATTCTTTTAAAAGCTTATCTTGTATTTTAAAGGTAGCGTAGTTGCAAAATTCAGGCGACATTTGGCGTCACTGTCCAAGCTACCAAATTTTTGGTGATGTCAGATTTTTGACTTTCAAAGGAATTATTCCTGTCTTATTATTTTTTCTTCATTCTCAAACTTATGACTGAGAACTTGACAAAGATAAGTAGAAACAAAGAGAACGTTATTTACCTATACTAATATAAAAAAGAAATAACATCAATAAAATGAAACGATAACAATTTTTCTTCTCTATTTCTTCTTTTCAAGCTAAACGTTTTAAGTAAAATAATGAAAGTTCCCTTTTAGCCATGATGTGTTAGTTATCGTTTTATATACAATAACATTACTCTGCTCAATTTAGTTTTGAAGTTGCGTTGATGTTCAAGATTTAAATACGCAGCACAGTTAAGGTTACAAAAAGGAGGCGGAGCCTAATTTGTACGGGAAAACTTGACTGTGACATCATACACAATATACGTCATACAACATTTCTTTAAAATGCCACAAAATGAGTTTATCTGCTAATTTAACCAGTAAGAAATCATCAAACTACATAAAAACTTACTACAACGTGTTGTTTTGTCGTTAGTTAAATCCCACATAACAAGTTATAAACAAGTCACTGATCGCAATACACTTGTCAATATGACGTCATTTCTTACAACGTGACGTAGTTTGTATGCAGTGAGACACAGATCAAGTAATATTTTCTCAACAAAATATGTATTTTCTAATTTAATAAAATATTATTTACAGATATTCTATGGGCCAATAAATTGAATTTAATGTCTTCTTCGCTATTTAAATAATATATTTTCTGTATATTACGTATTTAATTAACACTGCCGTATATTTGTATGCAAGTACATCGGAGGGTTACGTGGGGGGTCTTTATAAATCGATCTAGTGCAAGGGCATACACTCTATGGATCAAAGTAAGCTTTTACATTTCAACTATAGAACTATTAAGGTTTCTGAAAAGTGCTGCAATCCTGATGAAATCTTAAAAACAATTTATTTATATCAATATTTCATGCCGCTGACCAGCAAAAAATATAGCATTCGGTCATACAAGTATAATTTTAACAATGAAATTGCAGAATTTAGACAGGATCGCAGCACTTTTTAGAAACTACAATACGTGTTGAAAATATTTATATACTAAACTTGGAAATTTATCTTGGTTATGCCCTTGCACTGGTGACATTTATATGTATCATCAATACTTCAAGTCAATGTGCTAAAATCGCGTGACTGCCGCATCACGTGACTAGTCTAAATATAAAATATAATCGTCCTCGATATGTAGTTATTAATTATAATTACAATTATCCGATATAAATAATGTACTAAAAATAATCGCCATCCCGATTACGAATACATTTTTAAATACAAAATTTAGTCGATATTTCCAATGCGCACCTTAACTGTACTGCGTAGATACAATGTATTCAAATAATTTTCATGTGAAAAAATGCATTTTTGAAAAAGGTTTAAAATTTTATGATAATAGCTGACATGTAATTATAAATACACGTAATACCTTGGCATCCATTTTCTTTATCACAATATTCCTTTACACAATTACACGTTTCTTGGCATCCCTTCCCAAACCCTGGATAACGACAAGGAAATGCACAATCTCTTCCTGTTAAACCGGGGTCGCAATCTAGTAAATAAGAATAAAAACCTTGTAGTCATTGCAAGCAATGTAAGTATAATTATATGATTAACAAAACTTCATGCCTTAACAGAATAACATGCATGACAGACGATTGTTTGATAAAATGTTTGCTGTTTTAGGTCCAAGTCGCGAGTGTTTCTCTCACATAGAGATGTAATTACAAGCAAGCGGATCAAAGGGCTTCATATATAGAAATTTGCTTAGCACCAAGTTTATCGAGCAATGAAAAGTCTTTATAGTGCCAACACCTGAGGCAACATCCTACGTTTTTAAGTCTCATCCAAAGAACCAACAACATTCATTTTTATTTTCAGTTTTGAGCGCTGGGAGAGAAACAGTTGCTTAGGTCACTAGCGGAAGGCCGGGTTTCGAATCAAAAACCTTTTTAAAACGGATATCTGACGATCAAGGATGATTTATCACATTTACATGTAATTCTAGACAAAATGTTCAATATAATATACGCAGCTAGGATAAGGCTGCCCGTAAAATATCAAACTGCTCAAACTGTAGTAACTTCTCTAAACTACCTAGATATGACATCATAATAGAATATGACGTCATGTCACTGCATATTTGAGCTGACATGACGGGGAAAATGTCATAATTATTACACGGCATGTAGATTTATTATGGGAATTTGTATTTAATTTCAGAATAAGGGTTGTTTTTAAGCTTGTGTGTGCTGTTATTATGTTTAACATTTGATATTTAAATGCCTCTATTCCTTTTGCTTGTCCGATATGCATATATTCAAGCAATAGCAAAAGATTATATTTGAAACGCCCCCCTTACACTTCCGTAGACAGAGTTAGAATTTATGAATCGTGTTTATATTGGACTGGCACACGTGAAAGACAAGGATAAATTGAAGATATTCTGCGTGAATCTAAAAGAGAAGTGAGTCTTCTAACTGAAGTTTGCTGGGGGATCGTATGTAGTTTATATGTTTTTGTATAATTCGCGATAAAGTGTGGAAAATACCCCTCTTTACGTTGGTAATTTTGATTTAATGTACAATATTTTCTTAAGAAGTAAAAATGAAACCTGCCCCCAGCACTTTTTATGTACCAGAGATCACGATGAATTGATCTATGTGACAAACTTTGCACAATATTTTCGTTTTGCACTTGTGCCGAGGTGATTTTTGTGCAACATTTATGAATATCAAAAATGTCCCTCACGTGATCAACACAGTCATCTGACATCACAGAATTTTTTATTATAATACCTGATTAAACTGTTATCTCAAGTTGACCGCAACTTCAAACAAGGATCACATATTGAAAATCAAGCTCAAAATAAAATTTGTACTTGTAAGACATGTTAAGCCTTCGGACAGCCTTATCATATATAATAGCATATATATAACTCACTGGTATCAAAATGTTTGCTGTTTACAGCCTTTAAAATATTTTGAAAGCATTTTAGAAATCACACGATAATAAAAAATATTACTAAGATATACACAATCATATGTCAGAATTTGTTACTTACCTTTAATATTTGCCGCATAAACAGATGTATGTTTCCTTAGAAATGAGGAATATATATTATTAATTACATATAAATGTTCTATATTGCTTTTACAATCAAATACAATCCTTTCATTAGATATTGAATTTAAAATTGAACTTTTAAAATATAATTTGAAATGAACATGGACTTAAACATCAACATCTTACCTTTGAGGACTCTCTGGAAAAAGATTAAGTTGTATTAAAGTCAAATTGAAAATTAAAACAAATCTTGCCAAATTTTCGATGTACGAGAGACGTACCATCATTTTCCATAAATACCTAGTTTTTTTTCATTTGAGATCGACATCCTCAATATGTGCAAAAATAAGCATTACAAGGAAGAACTACAAGTAGTGAACATACAACTGTGAGTTTTTAAAATTCAAGTGGATGCTTATTGCATCAGACTGAGATATGGTATTCAGCTATGTAAAAGGAAAATGTTACAAAAAATCTCTTATAAATGATAAGTTTTGAAAAGCATAATGCTTAAAACATTGTTAAAATGTTTACAGCAGTCAACTGAATGCATCACTACATTAATATGTTCTCAGCTCGAAAAACAAGCGACACAAAATTCAAACTTGGTCTGTAACTCATCAAGATACACTCACATACCAAAATTCAGTTAAATATCTTCAAGCGTTTAGAAAAAAAGTGCGGAAAACCAAGTAGGACAGACTTACAGACAGATGGGGACAGACAGACGGACGGACGGAAAGACAGATGCAGAGAAAACCAATAGTCCCCTCCGTTTTTACCAGTAGGGGACTAATGATAGGGGTATCTCATACATGAACTAAACAGACGAGTTCCTATAAAATAATTAAATATCCATATTCGGCTAAAAAAATGAGGTTGAGAGATCAATTCTCTTTTGTTGAAAAAATGTTGGTTCATGTACAATAAAAATATGTAATTATGAAAACATGAAATTATGGTCGAAGGGACCTTGGAGATTCTTTACCAGATTTCCCCCTTGGCGCTACATAATGCATCCAATAATATTGCTGATCATAATTTAGACATTTTGAAATCTAATTACAAGATCCTTGTTCCATGGGCACATAAGTATATGAAAATGCATCCTTTGGCCCTATTTTTACTGAAAGTAGTTAAGTTTCACAACAGCTGTTTCTATATATTTCTATGAAAACTTTGATGATGACCCCCCGGAATAATGATCGGGGGTCATGTGTTACCATCAATTTAAAAATCTGCATAACCAACGTGAAGAAAAGTAATCCCTGTAGAATAATGACACTGGCCAAGTGTAAATTAAAGAAGAAATTGTTATGGGGTAAAATGATCAAATTATATATTTCTATGTAAAACTGAAGATTCATTGTGGCCCCAATTCCTCACCCTAGCTTAATGAGAAAAAGTTTATGAAATGTTAATCTATATTAAATTATTCCACATATGTATCTATTTTGTTGTCAATGCCCAGTGATTCTTGAGAATCCAAAGGAGTAAAAGATTTTTCCTATATATTTCCAAAGAATAAGAACTTTGGTTTCCCCAGGGTGGAAATTTTTTTTTCATCATAGTGACAGAAAAATTGCAGCAAAATACATTATAACAGGATACCCCAAGTTTAAAAGCGGGAGGATATATAGTGGCCAAGTGTCCATCTTGAGAAGAAGATTCTCAAAGATTTTTCCTATATATTTCTATGTAAAACATCTGATTCCCTATCCCAACTCCTCTCATACCACTACATGTAATTTGATGAAACTTTCACAGAATCTTTGTTACCTAGTGCATCTTTTATTTGACTTTTTGAGCGGGCACAACATTTGGATTTCCCATGGCAAAAAATACACATTGCAATAATTTTAATAATATTGAAAAGTAGCCATCTCTTATCAAAAACTCCTCCTATACCACTAGTACTGAATATAATCTAATGATATTTTCACAGATGCTTTTATTACAAAAGATTTTTTAATGCACCTCAACCCTATTTTTGCCACGTTTTGATCTGACAGGAAAATGGGAAATTTCCCTTCATTTTAATAATTTAAATTCCTTCCGTCTGTATGTACGACCAAAAGGCACTTGTTTCGAAAATAATTTTTAAATCTATAGTATGAAAATGATACTCAACCACGAAACATATGTGCTGATCTCGGGCAAAGTGCAAAACTAAATAAAGCAGTTACTATTGCATTGAATAAATAAAATTTGATAACGTCTCAATTTTCATAAAACACTACGGCATTTTTTCGATTTAATTTTAGATACAGATTTTAGCCTGTCAAAATTGTTGTGCGGGATTAGCACATACCGTTTCGTGGTTGAGTTCCAGAGTTTTGACGCTGTTTACGGAGATAAATTAAAACAAAGACATACATGTCGTACATGGTTGTGTCAATAAATAATCGTAAAAGAGAAAGGTATTAAAATTTTGCCAGTGCATTTCATCTAAAAGTGTAAATGAGTGCGTTTCTGAGAAGGTGATGCTTAGTGTAATTCATAGTTAGATATCTTGTATTATTATTAGACTATTGGTTAAAAAAATATTTCCGAAACAAGTGCCTGTGGTATTACCGTCCGTCTATTACTTCAAAGGAATAACAATTATCATAGTATGCAGTATATTTTCCCCTGTCAAGTGTATTTTGTATTACTCTAAAGGGGATCATCTTTCAACGAGGTTCAATTATTTTTAGGTCTCGCTGTAGAATGTTCGTGTATCTTGTTATAGGGAAACGGGAAGTTGCAGCACCGGCGAAACGTTTAAAATTGTTTTTGTGAAAACAGCTGTATTGATATATGAAAAAAAATAAATTGGGTGTTGCTAAAACGCGGAACTGAAACTGAACACAGAAAATGTGATATCAATTTATTAGCTCAAGTTAGGTACATTGTATATGACATAGAAACCATTGATTTCCACCTCAAACGCAGTAATTTAAAACAAGCGAAAGGTAAGGAGTCCTGGAATTACAGGGAGAAATTGAAAAAAAAAAGTTTATCACAACTACAGTAGTGTTGATGCTATCCATCGACACCTGTAATGGGCTTTAAAATTTCATACATGGTTAAAGTTAAATTCTTCAAATATACTTTACTGGTTGCCTATTGTAAGCCTTCAGTGTTTTGGCGTCAAAAGTACATCAATAATAAATAAACCTTATCATGATACATAAATATTAAAAGCATCTATTAATTTAAATGGATGCACTTATTTTATGAGGAAAACTTTGTTGCTGCTCTTTGAGTTGGGTTAGCTTAATATAAATTATCAGGTATAAAAGTGCAGTATATTTTCCCCTGTCAAGTGTATTTTGTATTACTCTGAAGGGGTTCATCTTTCAACCGGTTCAATTATTTTTAGGTCTCGCTGTAAAATGATTGTGTATCTTGTTGTAGGAAAACGGGAAGTTGCAGCACCGGCGAGACGTTTAAAATTGTTTTTGTGAAAATAGCCGTATTGATATTTTTAAAAAATATGGTTGTTGCTTAAACGCGGAACTGAAACTGAACACAGAAAATGTGATATCAATTTATTCACTCACATTAGGTACATTGTATATCACAGACATAGAAACCATTAATTTCCATCTCAAACGCAGTAATTTAAAACAAGCGAGAGGTAATGAGTCCTGGAATTACCGGGGGAATTTGAAAAAAAAGTTAATCACAACTACAGTAGTGTTGATGCTATCAATCGACATCTGGAATGGGGTATAAGAAAAATTTCACACATGGTCAAAGTTAAATTCTACAAATCTACTTTACTTGTTGCCTATTGTACGCCTTCATTGGTGTCAAAAGTACATCAACCTGGTCAAATAAACCTTAACATAATTCATAAATATTAATTGGATTATAGATGTAATTTTTTGTGTTTAGATGCACACTTTTGCTTTGAAAATGATTAAGTATGATTTTTTAATACTTCCTAAACTTTGGCGGAAGGCCGGAAGGCAAATGCGAGTTTTTTCCCCATTCAGATCTGTTCTTTTCTATATAATATATATTCATTTTGAAAATGATATTTTTGAAAGCCGAGAAATAATAACCAATATGCATTTTAAAAACTTGTACAAATTTAAGAAAGGCATCAAGTGAAAATCATTAAACACATGTAGTAAAAGACGCTGTTTAAGATTTGTCATTTCTTCAATAGTAAAACTAATAACAATACTGAAAGTTATAATGTATTTTTTTAAATTAAAACACTGTGTAAATATTTCATATTTATTTGTAATTAAAGAATAAAAAAAGGAATCACTCATTAGTGATATAGTATCAATAAAAACAAAATTATACATGGTATATATCAATGTATCTTTTCTTCTTACATACACATGGACAGTTACAAAACAGATAAAGGCTGAAAAACATACAGGCAATACTAATCATTCCTACTGTTAACTTGAATAAGATAGGCTTTTTCGTCTTTCCAAATTCTTTGCTCACGCAATCAAGATCTGCCAAAATAAATTCTCTTTATTTTTCTGAACAAAAATTCATAAAGATTCAAACATAACGAGATGTATTAAACAAAAATTAACGACATTTATAATTATGCATTGATTCTATTATTAATTTACATATGCACACATCTGTAAACATCGAATAAAAAAATGGTTAGCCAAATCTTTTCTGATATTAGGTGCTGCAGAGGTTTTTTCTCCATTGGCATACATGTAAATGTATATATTGGTAAACCCTTGAGTATAAACAGTATTCCTCTTTGTTAACCCTCCGGACAAAGGAGGCGTCACATAATCAGTTTCATAAAACTTAATGTCATTATAACTGTTTTGATATGATAAAGTTGCCAAAGATAAAGAAGTGCTTGTCTGTGTAGTTTCAAATGGTTCTAAATACATAAAGCACTTTGAGTCATTTCTTGTAAAAAATTTAACTGAAAGTATTATTTCTGCCTAGAAAATAGGGTCTTGGTTAAAGTTGGAGAAATTATGCAGAATTGAAGGCTAATTGTACATTTTCCAAATTATACATCGTGCAGAATATTCTTTATATCGAAGAATTATGAGATATCAATGTATACCTATTTGTCTTTATATGTAATACTCAAAGTTGCATAGCTTATGCTGTCGACGAAAAACAAGCCATTTTTTAAAGTTTTTTTTTGCACGTAAATTTTGCGCAAAACCTCTCACGTATTTTTTTTTAATTATGTCTACCAGCTTTTAACGCTAAATAAATTAATTTCGAAAAGTTTCATTTAATTGATCAGAAGATAGTGCTAACGGCAGATGTGAGCGGTTAATGTGGGATGCTTACTGT